TTTGACATCTTTGATACAAGTAACGAGTTCACTTCCAAGTGAACAACCCGATAGTCTTCTTCTTATCATAGCATACCAACCAGCGAACACCCAGCCAAGTTTAGTTAGCCAGTTTGAGTATTCGTTACAGAATTCTAGTAGAATTCTAGAGACCCCCTCTAGAAGGAATCCATTCTGTTTAGAGGCTTAACAGAACGATTCCAGATAGAATATTCCACCTGCAATTCCATGGAATATAGTTCCAGATGCTGAACCTTGTTCTTGTACACCGGTAGAGCTCTCTATAGAGAGGCTCTCGAGAATATCCCTCATAACCGTATGTTTAGACCCACTCGACTTCTCTACTACGATAATCTGTTCAATAGTTGTTATCCTCTGCTTCATGTCCATGGTATATCAGTTTTTCTCGAACTTTCTCCATAATGAATTCATATGTCGAGTATTTTCACTGTACATGAAATCATGATTCCACTAGTGTTGCGTACTGTAAAGCTGTGAATGAGCTTCAGTGTGGGAATGTGCTAAGGAGCTCGGTGTGAGGGTACAGACGTGGAGGAAGCGATGTGGCCCGTGCCCTTGGAACTGTAAATAGCCTCAGATCTTACGATCACTTCCACTCTTTGTAGACAATTTAGTTCTTACGCATACAGTTGACCTTGTCGCTATCGCACCCTTACACTCGGCTAATAGGCCGAGAGCAATAAATCGATACAAGGATCCTATTTGTTAGTAGACAATCTTTTGTTAACCTGAAATCAAACGTCGGCCCAAGGCTGTTAAACTCGAATACGTAGGTAGACGTTCGTTAATAGTTCTAAAGTCGTAGCGGTAGTAAGATTTTACGTAAGGTAAGTTTACACACTGTAGCGCCGACACTCTAGGAGCACTTTGTTGAAACTAAGAGCCTTCCGTTCCCATCGCCGCGAATTTGTCTTTTATTATTAATCTGGTTTCTTAGAGTGGTGTAGACCGAGCTGTCGAGTGTAACCAAGAAACCAGATGTCGACTTTTATACTAAGGTTACTAAACACCGGAATAACAAGTTGTGAAGGTATATAATTTTTCTTTTTTCTTTGAAGAATAGAGGAATGGAAACTTTGGGAGTATACTTACTCTTTACTCAGTTTAACTAAGGTGTACAATAGAGATACGTAAGTTCATTATCGATCGCAAGGGGTTATCTCGGCACCTCCGTCTACCTGCAAGAGTGGAGCATTGTTTTCTCCACTTGAGGCTTGGCTTCTCTCTCTCTCAGGAACGCTGGCAGCAAGGACCTAGTGCTCTAGGATTCTTACTGGATCCAAATTTATACTAGACTAAACACGGCACTTCCTTTTTCGGCTTCCGGTGTCTTCATGGGCTGAGGGAGATGAGTCCTGAGAACATCTGGTACGATAATTTGAAAATTGCCCCTGGAGAGTCCATTGAGTTCTATCTTAGATAATTATAGAAATACAATAGAGCATTTTTGGAGTGCTTACTAGAGTATCTACTGCGTATGCTCAAGAAATCCGTTCCCGACATTAGACACAAGTAGTACAAGAGGCGAGTGCGACGACGGATGTTTGCATACGAAGTGCTAGACGCTCACATGGGCATGCGAAGAAATTGAGGATTAAAAGACGTAGACTTATGCTTGAGCCAGTAAGATCTGTCGGGTAGGTAGAGTCGATCGCCTCAAGGTGTCCGTCCCACTCGGCAGGAGTAGAAATTTCCGAATAGCTTGTTCGAAAGTTCGTAGTATGGATCTTTCTATTTTAGGTGTACGCGCTTCTTGGCTAGGGTGGAGCACCCTAGTCACTCTGGGAAAGCATACCGTATATGAGCTGGTAGAAGACTTTCCAAGTAACGACTTTCCTCTTTTCTTTCTACCCTTCTTTTAGTATTTACTTTCTGGGCCATTCGATTCTTTCGCTCTTTACATTCTCTTATCCCCGAGTATTACTCGCTATATCTTCCTTTGAACCACTTTCTTTTCGGTTAGCCCGTTATTTGCCAAAATGCAGCTCATTAATTTCCCAACTGCTCTTGTCCTTCTTACTACTACTCTATCTTCAACAACTGCCCTTCCTCTTGGTAGTACTCTTCCGACTAAATCTGCCGCGTAAGCTTTCTTTTCTTAAATTTCACGATATGTGTAAGCTAACTATTTACCTAGATGGGAAGTGAAAGTTAGGCCCGAATACTTATTTCACTTACACGGAGGCCCCTTCAGCCCACCGTGGCTTGAGAAGACCATCAAAACTGTTAAACAGTTGAAAAACAAATTGACAAACACACCTGAACCACCCCCTTACAGAGTCGAAGTCCTTCGGCCATTGAAGGGGCCTCCTCAAATGAGGGGATAGGAGGCTATGGGCACACGCATTCACATATATGAGCCAAGGGGAGAGGGGGAAGGTTTTCTAGACTTAAATGGGCTAGGAAGGTAACTCCATTGGAAGGAGTGTATAGGCTGGAAACAAAAGGCGACCTAGGCTATACTAGATAGAAGGTTTAGGGCGCATGAAGTATACACTTATGGCTTGGTTAATACCTACCTGAGATACAAAGCGTGGGCAAGGGAAGTAGGGAGGCTCGGGGAACTTGAAAAACATAATTCAACATATTACATTCTTTTACTCTTAATCTCATATTCTTAGGCTCTGTGTACCCACTTTCTCAACTCCAAAATATCGTCCTAATTCGTACGCCAAGTGTTAACTTCGCTCGATTTAGTTGTATTCCGAGCCTTTTAAATTACGCTCTACTCTAGGTAAACACAACCTGAATATCTTACCTTGATACCCTGTTATCGATCCTACTTTAATTTACACGATATTACGCTAAATCGTCTTTAGTAGTATATTCGAAAGTAGGTCGCAACCTACTTATTGTACTCGGGTAGGTTTCGTGTGAGGACCGGCTTACCTGCGCACCTGAAAACCCCACCAAAAAGACCACTTTCACGCACTTTATAATAATATATAAGAAATCCCTCATTTAATAGATTTCTCTACAACTAAAATCCTGAATCAATTCGAAGTTTATAAGTCTCTCTACTAAATATAGAATACTAATGAGTAGAGATAGTCTTATAATATTAGAATAAATTAGATAGTTGATATTTTACGCTTATTTCTACTAAAAAACGTATAAGTTAACTTTACTACTTAATAACTTTCTATAATGAAGTCTAGACAACAAATAGAGTTAGTACATCTACGTGAAATGTTCGAATTAGTAATTCCTATTAGCGCTAGTACTTTTAGGGTTATGTGTATTGTAAAATGATAGTTCGAGAGGGTCGTGGATGATGAGCACGCACAAGGTTTTCCTAGAATGCTTCGCCGGTATGGGAGAAGACAGTCTTTCGCCGTTGGTGGCTCATCAGGGAAATGATGGGTTGTGTGTGTTATGTACACCTGTTGGGTCGGGTGTCTCCAATCTTCCATTGCCAGAAGTGGGAGGCACCTTCCTTAATTAGATGTACACGTGCCAGATAGCGCCTTGGTAGTGAGAATCCTCACTGCCAAGAGAGGGGAAAGTCCCTGCATGAAACGCTGTTGTTGCCTGAACTCGCGGTTGGTTTTTCCGAAGATAGCCGACTACCGAGTCACACAGTCCCGGTAGCAATCACGTGTTATATTTCTTGTTTTCGCTCCAAGCCTGTGTACTCCGTTGAGGTGTTCGGCCCACAACATTTTCAGCCAGGTTTAGAGGTACTAAAGGAAAGGCGGGTTAGGGTTAGGGTTAGGGTTAGGGTTAGGGTTAGGGTTAGGGTTAGGGTTAGGGTTAGGGTTAGGGTTAGGGTTAGGGTTAGG